ATTCCCTGGGATTGCAGGGAATAAAGTCCCCAAATTCCCAAGAATTCCTTAGGATTGCATGGAGTAAAACGCCAAAATTGCCTCAACTCGAGGCAAAATCTGCCCCAAACGTTCCACAAAGATCCTGAATCTTTCCCTTTTCCAAAGGAATTCCCTCCCCACCCTCCTGGCAAGAATTCCTTCCCAAAATCCCCATTCCCACCCCAAACCCATTCCCCGTGTCCCATCCCAAATCCCAGACCCTCTCCAGCTCTCCTGGAGCCCCTTTCCCCTCTGGGATCAGCTCCTGGAGCTGCCCATTCCCATTCCCATTCCCATTCCCATTCCCCAAACCCTTGGGATGATCCCCACCCTGCCCAGGCCGTTTCCCAGATCCCAGATTTATCCCAGATTTATCCCGGATTTATCCCAGATTTATCCCAGATTTATCCCGGATTTATCCCAGATTTATCCCAGATTTATCCCAGATTTATCCCGGGTTCATCCCGGATTTACCCCGGAGCAGGGCAGAGGACCAGAGCTGCACGGACATGTCTGGGATCTTGCTGGCCAGCTGCATGGCTGGCACCACCATGTTGTTGCTTTCCTAGGAAAATCGGGAAGGGAAAGGGGAAAATTGGGATTTTGGGAATATTTCCTGCGCTTTCCAGCACGGATTGAGCGGAAAAGATGGAAAGTTCCNCATTCCTGGTGGGATCTGGGATCAGTCCCAGTAGGGTGGGCTCATTCCCATTGGGATTTAGAATCATTCCCGCAGGGATCTGGGATCATTCCTGGTGGGATTTGGGATTTAACCCTTGGGACCATTCCCATTGGGATTTGGGATCAATCCCACATGGATTTGGGATCATTCCCATTGGGATTTGGGATCATTCCCACATGGATTTGGGATCGTTCCCACAGGGATTCAATTCCACGGCTTTGGTTTCCCTTTTTCCTCTTCCCCTCCAAAATTCCAAGGAATTTCAGCTCCTCCTTCCCAGCTCTGCTCCATTAAAAAAAAAAAAATAAAATAAAGGAAAAACTGCCACGAAAAGCTATTAAATAATTTAATATACAATGGTAAAAAGCTCTGTACATTGGAATTTCCGCCGGGAATTTGGGGATTTGGGAATTCCGGCGGCAGGAGGAGCCCTTGGGAGCTGGGATCAGCTCAGAGCCCCCACCCCAACCCCCCCCCAGAATTCCCAAGGGATTTTCCGGCTGTTTCACCGATTTTGATGGATTTTCACGGGAGATTGGAGGCGGAAAATTGGGAATTTTGGGGAATTCTGCTCCTTCCTCGGCGTCCCCGGGGGGTGGGAAAGGCTCTTTTCCCACCTGGGGAATTCCCAAAGCTCAGCCCCAACCACAGCTCTCCGGAATTGGGATTTTCCCCAATTTTTCCCCATTTTTTTTCCGGGTTTTTCCCAAAGTTTTTGGGATTTGGCCGCCCTGGAAGTGCTCAAATGCAGGCGGGAGCAGCCTGGAATAGTGGAAGTGTCCCTGCCCTGGGATTGGGATCATCCCGAGGCTTTTCCAGCCCAAAATTTGGGAATCTGAGCCCAAAATTCCAAGCTGGGCCTGAAATTCCAGAATATTCTGGAACGTTACGGAGTTAGAAATGAAAATTTGGATTTCCTGGCTGGGATTTGGGAATTTCCCAAGCCAGGGAGATTCCAAGGAAAAAGATTCCAAGGAATTGTTGCACCCCGGAGGAAATAAAAACTGGGAATGTGCTTCCCAGAAAAATCAAAAACTGGGAAAACTCCCCCAGTTCCTGATGAAAATCCCCAGATCCCAAAATTCCTGGCATGGTTCTGTCTCAGTGGGATCCCAAATATCCCAAAAAAACCCTGGGAGCCTCTGGAATTTCCCATGGGAATTCCCAGCCCTGGATTCAGGCTGGAAAATCCCTGGATTTGGGAATTTTTTGGGATTTTTTTTTTCCCCTGTTTTTTGAGTTCCAATGGCACCAAGGATTTTCCTTAATCCTCACAAAAATCCAGAATAAAAACTCTCAATCCTCAATCCCCAAAACCAGGATTTCCGTAGAAAAAAAAAAAACCTGGAAAATGCAAATTTTTTGGGAATGGGATTAAAAAAACCTCATCCCTGGAATGAATTCCAGAGGGAAAAATTGAGGAATTTGAGTGGAAAAAATTCCTTGCTCTGGAAAAAGATGGGATTTGGGAAAGGAAGATGATGGGAATGAAGGGATTTTAAAGGGACTTAAAGGGAATTTTAAGGTTCCTTCTCATCCAGGTGGGATTAAAAATTCCCAAAAATCTCTGGCAGTTCCAGGGCTTTGGCTTTCCTCTCTCCAAGAATTCCAGAGTTCTTTTCCATCCCCCTTTCCCAGAAATCTGGAGAAATTCCAACTGGGAAAAACAACTCAGTTCCAGCCCCGGCACTGCTGGGAGCCTGGAAAAACTTCCAGCTTTTTTCTGGGATTCAGCATTCCCAGATTTCTGGGAAATCCAAACTAAACTGGGCTAAAACCAGGGAACTGAACCTGGAAAAGGGAATTGTGTGCCGAGGGCGAGGCTGGAATTCCATCCCAAACCTCTGGACTGGGATTTATTCCCAGGGTTTGGGAATCCTTAAGGCACAGGTGGTGCCTTCAGCCTGGAAAAATCTGGGATCAGCAGGAAAACTCCGGATTTTCCCCAATCCCAACGGTGGGGAGAGCTGTGGCTGCGGGAGGGACGTCCCAGGAAACCCTGGAATTCCTCCTTCCCAAAAAAATGGGAATTTCCCCTGGGGGAATTCCAGCTGGGAACCCAATCCATGATTTCCTCACCCCCTATCCCCGAGGATTCCCAGCAGGATCCAACCTTGGCATTCACCTGGGCATTCCCACCTGGAAAAGCAGCTCCGGACGCTCTGGGAATCCCTGGAAAATTCCTGGGGTTTTCTCACTACCAGAGGGAATTCGGAAGCTTTTCCGTGGATTTTTTTTGTTTCTTTTCCCCAAGTTTTTGACGCTTTTTTTTTCCCCCCCTCACGGGGTGCTGTTGGTGGATATCCTGGAGTTTTCCTGGAGTTTTTCCAGGGATTTTCCTGGAGTTTTGCTGGAGTTCACAGCAGACTGGCCAGGCTGGTGGTGGGGCCGTTCTGGGCCTGGAACTGGACTGGGGGGGGTCCATCCGTCCACTGCAAGGGGAAAACGGGATCAGAATCCCGGGAAAAACTCCCGGGAAATTCCCTCAGCATCACAGAATTCCCGGGGATCCCAAATTCCGACCCCACATCCCGCTGGGATTTGCTTTTCCAGGGGTTTATTTGGGATTTCAAAGCCAAAATCCCAGGAAAAATGGGAAAAATTCCCTCAGGATCACGGAATTCCCAAGGGAATCCCAAATTCCACCAGGGAACCCTGCTGGGATTTGGTTTTCCAGGG